ATGTGTCCAAAGTCCAACTCCCTCAAAACCTATTCCACCTTATACTTTCTATACGTCAAGAAATAGTTCTGCTGTCTACTCTGATTCCCTAGCCAGAAACCCAAGGAGCCCTTCAGCTTACTCCACTCTCTGCCTCCAACTGATAAAGTGTCCTCCCAGTATTTTCCCCGTCCACCACCATTGCCAAAAAGCTGGTGTGAGCCACTTCTGCTCCTCACCTGCAAGGTCCCCCATCTCTGCTCATGTCCCGCCTCACAATGCTGATTGCTTTCTGAAATACGATAGGACAATGTCACTTTGCCCATAGGTGTTCTCAAAAACTGAAGTAGTAGAAGGCACTGGCTGGTTCAAGCAGTGCCCAGAAATATTGCCATTTCCTCTGCTTCCCAGACTCCTGTGGGCAAACCTGTACCATGGCAGAATACAGACTCCCATCCTTCAAACAAGTTGTTCCAGAAGATATTTGGAATATTTCCCAGTGAAACTGAGCTCCCACTGACCACAGCAGTGACCTTGAGAAGACATAGCTGTATTAGACTTTCCTCACTTCATCACTGTCTCAGTATCCCCACCCTTACCCCTGCTTTCTGAGGTGTCACCCAGTGGTTTAGCCCTTAAATCTGCAATACTTGGGGGAAAAAATCCACATCTGGAGCTCTGATAAGATTTGCAGCGTAAAACAAATTCAAGTGCTTGGAAACTTTAAAACCCATTCCCAAGTAACTTGAATTAAATGAGAAAGTAAATGAGAAATTATAAAGTATTAGAATTATCACAAGTGCGTGAAACTTCTTTGGTATCCAAACTGAGGGGGTACAGCTAAAGCAATCTTTGAGGCATGAGAGCTCACCACAATAAATACTAGGGAAAGAAATCTTGAGAATGTAGGATGTAAGCTGCTTTTCCCAAAGAAAATACACTATCAAAGTTCTGGCACCCCCCAAATCCTCCTCACTGGTTTACTGGGGGCACTCAGGGTATGGACATCCAACATCCAATCTAGGGAGAACAGAATCTACAGTTACAGTGTTGGCCTTTGATGCTCTGAAATTAAAATCCTAATAACATTCGTAAAGACTCTAATTCACAATGCAGTACAGATGCAAGAGGCCATTACCTCTCCCTCAGGCCTGCCTGTGTTCAAAACCTTTGATAGGCCCTGTGGGGTGCCATGAACTACTCAGTGGTGATTAACTAGCAAATAACACATCCCTGTGTCTAAATCCCAGCTCAGTGGCTGGTGGTGCAGCTTCAAGCAAGTTTTCCTAAATTTTTCTGAACCTCAATGTCCTCATTTACACAGGGAGGTTAACACTAATTGCTATGGGCTGTTACAAGGGTTAAATAGCATTATATATGCAGAGCACTTGATCTAGTTTATTATTTAATAAACATATAAACATTAATAAACATATAAGCAATTATTATTTAATAAACATGTGCTTATTAAATACTATACTTTTTAATATTTAATGTGTTTGTTAAATAAAACAATGTATGTGTTTATTAAATAATATATATTATTGTTATGTCTCATGCCGTTGTTAGGCAGGAAGCCAGAGATAAGTGGGAGGAGAGGTTGGGGTGACCACGGAGAAATTGAGACTAGCAAATTGAGACTACAGATCGCTTCCACCAATGAGAAAATCCCTACTAGCTGGGAAAGTAAAACCACACATACATTCCACAAGCTAGAGTCCAACTGGGCATACTCCTGGGTTGCCCTAAAGTAAACTTTACTCATTCTAAAGTCATTAAAATAAATCTGCATTGCAGTTTTTCCCCCTTTGGTGGGCAGAGAGAATTCTGGGAAAGAGCATGCTCAGTAGTAATTGGCTTACATTATTGCCAACCTGTCAATCAACACTTGTTTGCATAACAGTACTTCTCCTAAAAACCCCTTGCAAACCCCATAAAATGGCACTCTCCCTGTCTTGCCAATGGGTTTCAGCCCCAGGCAAATTCACTATGGATTCAATGTGACCAAAGAAATGACAGTAGAATGTTCTTGGGGTGAAAGGGTTATATCCAAGTTTATTTCCAGGTGGCAGTTCAGTCACTAGAATCCCATTCACTCAGAGAGAGTCTGCACGCAGCAAGCCGGTCTCTGCCTCTGGGCCCCTCTGTCCGCACAGCTGTCCTCTGGGCCTCTCTGCCCACACAGCCATCTCAGTCTCTGTCCTTGGCGCTGCCACCACTCTAGACTCTGCTCTCCTGTAGCCTTGCAGCCATGCCATGGTGTCGCCCAGAGCACTGGGCAGAGCTCTTTTATATAGAGTCAATAGCAACATATTGCCCACATGTGCGTAGTAAGCAAGCAACCCAGGGCTAGGTAAGAAGCCTGGCCACAGGAACCTTCATTTTATCCTGGTTGGCTTGCTAACTACACACATGTGGGCAATACGTTGTTGACTCTCTATAAAGAGCTCCACCCAGTACCTTGGGCTGCTGCAGGCTGCAGGCGAGCTGAGACTGGATTGGTGGCAGCACCGAGGACAGAGACTGAGCCAGCTGTGAGGGCAGAGAGGCCCAGAGGCAGAGACCGGCTTGCTGCACGCAGACTTGCTCTGAGTGGACAGGATTCTAGTGATTGACCTGCCACCGTGGGTATAAAGTTGAGTATAAACCCTTTCACCCCAAGAATGTTCCACTGTCATTTTTTTGGTCTCACTGAATCCATAGCAAAGTTGTGCAGGGCTGAAACCCATTGGCAAGACACATGAAGACTGCTTGCTTGTGCGAAAGGTGCCCAGAGAGCTCTTGTGACAGGAAGCAAAGCTGTCCCCAACAGAGCCTTTCAGAAGCGGACCCTCCAACGGGGGCCCACAAAGCACCAACAGTACAAGTGGCCACAGGATGCAGGGGTGGCTTCCCCAGATGCAGGTGACACCCAAAGACACCCACTTCACCCCCTGCTCCTCATTCAGCCATCACCACACCCCATAAGGGAAGTGCTATCACTGTGTCCCACTGACAGTGGAAGGGAGGCCCAGACAGGCCAAGTCATTATCCGGTCACATGGCTTCAAGTGGGGCCCAGCCAGGACTCAAAGCCACATCTGCTCTGTCCTCAGAATGCCAGGGCAACCTCTCCCTCACGCCTGCCTGTGTTCACAACCTTTGATAGGCCCTGTGGGGAGTCCATGTGCCCCGGGAGCCACAGGTAAAGGGGAACCAGGCACTGCCTGAGAAGCGGGGGTTACAGCAGCAACAGTGGGCCCCAACACCTGCTCGGACCTACAAGGGGCATCATCTCTGTGGGGTGTCTCGGAGAGACCCCAGATTGCTGCCCCTTGAGTGCCTCGGGTTCGATATTAATTTTGATTCCTGAGGGGAATAAATAGCCCATTTGCCCTCTCTAGTAAGTGAACCCCACATCAGGAAACCCCCTCCATTTGAGAGAGCCCTTCTTTGGGTTTGGCATCACTTGTCAAGTGGCCCCTCCTGCCTGTTTTTTTTTACTTTTTTTTCCCCCTATTTATGTGTTTGATGTGTTTCATGGTTTTGAAGAGAAACTCCCAGGTAGTATGAACGTTTACTCTAAACCTTTTTAGTGTTAGTTAACATTCACTTTTCAGTCTATAGGGATGCAAATAGTATCTTGCATCTATTGTGTTAATTACCAAGGCTTATTTTTTTAGTAGACACAAAAATCAAAGAAGTAATGGGAGAAACCCAGTTCTGAAGGCCCCATATATTTATCTTTCAGTAATTGAAAGCATTTAGAAAATAATTTTCACTTCTAATACCTCCAGAAGATGGTTTTGGATAAAACACTCATTGTCAAAGCAAAACCAATCTATAATTAAACAAGTGAAGCCATGGTTTTCAACTTACAGGTAAAAGGAGGTTGGCTGTTAGGCTGGGTTGCTTTACAGAAGGAAATCATCTTCAGAGGAAACTTCAGGTGAGCGACCTCAGTCAGTAACCAGTGTGCCCTGTGGCCAGGCCTATAGACCTATAGACCTCTATCTACACAAATACTCCCGAATGATGAGAATAAAGGAACAAGCCCTCCATGGGGACCCCAGTCTTTGGTAAAAGACCTGAGTTTTTACTTTAAAGGGAGAACAAAGTAATAGCATTATATTATTATGAAGAGAGAGAAACATTAACAGAGAAAAGTTAGATTGCATGGAAGTGAAAAAAGTTCTGAAATACTGTGCATGTATGTTTGACTGTCATGGTGGAGCTTATCCAAGTGTCTGTAAGCAGAACTGGAATGACCCAAGGAACCCAGCTTGGGAGTCAGAACGTGTTGAGAGAAATCAGCGTGTGGCTAACCTGTTTCCCAAAAGTGAATCAATTCGTAGGACTTGATATGATTGCCAGGAATGGCAGCTGTTAGAATGAGGACAGGTGAGGAACTCTGTTTTTTGTTTTGATAGATGGGAGAGTAAAGGTAAGGGGGCATAACCACCAGCTCTTTGGAGTGCCTTAGTGTCCTTAGAGAGGGAGTCTTTATGACCAGAAGATGACCAAACTGTTTCCATTTGTCATTCCAATACATATTTATCAAGTACTAAGTGTAGGCACAGTTCAAAATGCGGGGGATACTATATTGAACAAAACCAACAAATACCCCTGCCCTGGTGGAGCTTACATTCTATGGGGGGTGGGGGGGTGAGGGGTGGCAGTTGAGAAAAGTACAAATAGAAATTTTGTCCTAAAATGAAATGCGGGAGCTAGTCATAGGTTTTATATCAGGGGTAAAAATCCAAGCCATTTACCGAAGCCCTCATTTCAATTTTTCATTGCTCTCGGTTGCCTCAAACATGTCAGAAAGTCATGACATACACAATGCACAGGAAAATTTCAAAACAGCGTGAAAACAAAGAAAGCAATGAAGACATTTCTGGAAATCTGGCAGATGTGGGGCGGCGCGCTGGAAACGCCAGAGCGTGTGCCTCTCCGAACAAGGAAAAATCCAGACGGTGGGCTGCCTCTCGGCGCCCGACCGCAGACGGGAAAGCGGGGTTGTTGAGGGTCTCGGCGCCCTACCTGGGCTGCGCGGCGCAGCAGTCCCCTGGCTCTGCAGCCTCCGCCCCTGGTCGCCCGCGGGGGACACTGAGGCCCGCCCCCGACCCCTGACCGGCACGTGGCAGCCCTCCCAGCGCTAGGGGGCGCACGCATGCGCACGCACAGAGGCGCGCAAGCGCACACCGATGCGTATGGCTCCTGGTCGCCCAGCCTTGGGGTTTGGGCCTCATCGGTCGCCGTCGGTCGCCCGGGTGCCGAGAAGTCGCCGCGCGTCGCTACCCGGGCGTTCCGTGTTGTGACCGTCCATTCCCGGGTCGCTAGAGCGCCGATCGCTCTGCGGCGGGGAAGCAGCCCTACTCTCGCGCCCTCGCCTCACCCACCCGCGGGTGGGCCCGCGACTTCGCCCAGGGGCCTCTCGGGAGCCTCCCCTGGTCTGGGGCTCGGGGTCAGGGCCGTCCCCGCGCCCGCTGTCTCTGCAGCCCGCGGAGCCACAGGCCTGGGGACAGCTTGAAGCGCGGGCGCCTCTGGTCCTGGCTGCACGTGGGTGGTGGTGGGGCGGTGGGGCGGTCCCCAGCCCTCGCACTGGAAATGGCAGGAAACTTGAGCCGGCCCGAGAAGGGGTGAACTTTTGATGGTCAGGCGGTGCTGATAGCCTTGGGGATCGCGGAGTACGCGAGTTCTGTATTCTCACTCAGGTGTGGCGGCTAAGAATGTCAGCCCGAGAACTCTGATGTGCAAGAAATAACCACGTCCCTTAATTTTCTGCATCTCAGTTAATTTGTGATTCCTGCACCACAGTAAACCCACTCTTCTCTGCCCCCATACGATGGGCTGGTTAAAAAATAACAAATTATCCCAGGCCTTCATGGGGTCCCCTTCCCAGGGATTAGGCCATATTTTGGAAATTTATCCAGTGACTTGGTAGGTAGTCATATTGCCAGTAAGTGGCAGTTAGGATTCAAATCCCGACCTCTGGGACTCCAGAAGCTGAATCCCAACCAAGCAGCTAGATCTCTGTCTCTGAAACGTCTAGCCTCAGCCCTATTTGAAGGCAGCTTGAACCACAGTGCCTGGAAGTATAAAACACTGAACCGGAAGTTGGAAGGTGACCTAAAACAAGACTTCAATTTCCTCTGGATGAAATAGGGTTACTGTCCAAGGAATTGGAGAGGGTGTGTCTGGTCATTTGCAGGTCACCATCCAGCCCATCACAATGATGTCTCCTGGATGACACTTTCAAGCATAGATGCAGCAGCTCCAAAGTGAAGGGCCTCATCATCACTGATTGGAAAACGATTCTACTGGTTTAGTGTTAACTGACTGGTGCACAAGGGCAGACAAGAAACACTGATAGTGCAAGGGAGGTGATTATGACATGAGCTACCCCAACATCCACTCCCTCTCCACCTCCCTGCAAACAGACATAGATAAGAACTTACTTGTGCCACACAGGAAGGAATGCTGACTCTTGGGAGGAGCGAAGCTGTAGTCAAATGCTATAACATATAGCTGTGTAGCTACTCCTGAAATTATCAGCAGTCCAGCTGAATTAACATTTTGCTTTCCAAAACAAATGTAACTGAAAAAAGATTCGGACATTCCAGTCACTATTTAAGGCACTGTCGCCAACTCCCTTGAAACCAGAGGCAGGTGACACACAGAAGTGCAGACTGGGTGGAGCTTTAAATGCAATCTGCCACTATTCTATCCCTCTCTGTGTGGGACCTAGTAATGGGAAATCCTGATTTCCGTTCATATTCTCTGCTATTTCTGAAATACAATTATAACTGAAATATTGTAAATAAACCTAATCAATTCTTATTCAAATTTCCTGACATAGAAAAAAAAAGTTTTTCCCCCCACAATTCAGCTCAGCTGCTGATACTGTAAGGTGAAAATTCACTGTGGACTGCATTTTCTGATGATAAAACCTCTCCATTGTTGGGAAGGTGACGCATTTTGTAATTACCATTTGAGTTCTCTCCTTTGATTTGCCTTTCTTATTAGAAGGCTTTATTGCAAAATGATCAAGTTTGTATATTTATTTTAGGCATGTTGGCCTTTAAGACTCATCTTTGGCTGCAGATCAAGTTCTGTCATATTTCCAAAGACCAGATTGGAAGTGTTTCTGGCATTGTTTTGGTTGGGACCAAATTTGTATCCTGTGTTGATAATTTTGTTTTCAGTGGTTCTTGTTTTTTAAATTTTGTTGGATCCCTAAGCAGGTATGTTGAGTTGAAACTTGAAATTCCAATATAAGTGGGGAGGGTCTAAATTGACCCTGAGGATGCAGCAATAAGGCAGATAAAGATCCCTGTTCTTAAGGAGGGTACATTCTACTGTAGAGTGAAAGGCAATAAGCATATTAGTTAGCAATATGTATTATGGACAAAACCAAAGCAAAGAATGGCAGTAGGAAACAGGAATTTGCAATTGCAAATAGGATGTTTGGGGAAGGCATCATTACAAAGATGACATTTAGATAAAGACAAGTAAGGTGAAGAAGTTGACCGTGGAAAGGGGTCATTCCAGGCAGTGGTAATGTTTAATGCAAAGCCCTAAAATAAGAGGATACTTATTTGAGAAATAGCAAAGAGGGACTGAAGTGAAATGAGCTCTGGGGGGAGTAGGAAATGAGGTCAGGGAGGTAGCCAGGGACAGAACTTCAGTTTTTTAAGTCAGATAACAAGTGGCATGATCTGCTTTACATTTTAGTGGGATTTCTCTAGATTTTTGTTTTGAAAACAGTCAGGAGGTGAAGTCAGAAGCAGGGAAACCAGGTAGAAGACTGTTGCAATAATCCAACCGAGAGAGAATAGTGGCCAGGGCTAGGGTGATAGCAGTGAAGAGGGTAAGAAGTGGTTGCTTCTGAATATATTGAAAGCAGAGCCCTAAAGATTTGCTGACGGCTTGGATGTGCAGGCAAATACGGATCAATGATGATGTGACAGGTAGACTCTAAAATGCCTGCATCCCTGCCTCCCGGCAAGCCTGCCCTTTTGCAGTCTTCTCCCTGACAGTGAGCTGGACCCAGTGGCTAGCTTCTGACCAATAGAATCTGACAAAGGTGATTGAATGTTACTTTCATGAGTATATTATGTATATTGTGACTTCTGTCTTATGAGCAGACTCTCTGTTGCCTTCTCAGCATGCAGGCTTTGAGGACACAAGCTGCCATGTTACTGAGACCCATGTGGTGAGGAACAGAGGGTTGCCTCTGGCCAAAAGCCATCTTGGAACTAAGGCCCTTGGTCCAAGAGCTATAAAGGAAAATGTTGTCAGATTTTATTATATATCATTGTAAATTTATCTAGGAAAAATTTCCATGAACAGAGTTTTTAAAAGGCCAACAAGGAATAAGATTTGCAAAACAGTAATTTCAGTAAGATATATTTGTAATAATACATCCTGATATTTTAACTTCATAATATAGCCAAACTAATAAGAAAAACCAAATAGCTCAATGAATATAAACTCAGTAGAAATGTATAAGTGCACAATACAAGGAGGAAATTCACAGGGAAAAAGTATGACCTATAAATAGACTAAAAGATGCTTAGCCTCACTAATTTAACAAATGCTAAATCAAACAACAAAATACCATTTTCCCTTCTTACAACTCTAAAGTAAATACTAATATTGTACTCATTTGACAGGCAAAGAAGCTGAGACTTTAAGAAGCTAAGTAACTTGTTCAAGATCACATAGTTATTCAATGGCAAAATCAGAATTTGAAACCAGTATGTACTGCCTCCAGAGCTAATAGTACTGACCCTATACCATTATAGTATGATAAGCGAGCCCCCATCATCTGCCCACTTCCATGCACAAACTCATACATATTTTTGTAACTTCTCTAAAGATGACATTTATTTGATTCTGATTTTCCTTGGATATACTACATGAGTTAATCTTTTAAGTCAACATCCTGATGAAATAAAGCCAGGGTCCAATGGAAAAATACCAGACAAGTGTACTAATAATATTCTATTATTAATCTAATTTATAATCCAATAAGAGACCCCAAAAAAGAAGAGAATTAGAAGGAGACTTAAAAACATTTGATGATACAATGGTCAACATTTTCCAAATTTTGATTAAAAGTTACAAATCCCTAAAATTCACTGAACCCCAAACAAAATAAATTCAAAGAAAATTACCTAGTAATCAAGCTACTGAGAACTAAAGATAAAGAAAATATCTTGAAGTAGCCAGAGAAAGTAGATATCACAAACACATATTTTTTTCTTATCAGAAGCAATGAAGACCTGAAGTCAAAATCACAAAATCTTTAAAGTGCTGACAGGGAAACACTGTCAGCCCCAAATGCTATCTCCAGAGAAAAGATCCTTCAACAATGAGGGGGGAAAAAATTCTCAGATAATTGAAAGTACTGGCAGCCCCAGACAGTGTTACAAGTCAAGAAAAAAAAAGGGGAGGGAGAATATGTATCAAAAAAAAGCTAACTTTATTTGCATATGTAATAATCAGCATATAGAATATAATAATGAATCTTTTTAAAAGCTACTAGAATAGGTGCATTTAGTAAGGCCAGAGAATAACATCAAAATACAAGAGTCAACTGTATTTCTGTAATTTAGTAATGAAGAGTTGAAAATTAAAATTGTACAAAATACTTATGGTAACTGCAGACAACTTGAAATAGGCATACATTTAACAAAATACCCAGAATACACTAAAAAATACAAATCACTGGAGATATATACCATGTTGATAGATGAGAACATTCAGTATTGTTAAGATGTCGATTTGCCCCACACTGACCCACTGATTCAATGCATTCCCAATCAAAATCCTAACATTCTTTTTCATAGAAATTAATGAGTTGATTCTAAAATGTATATGAAGACACAAAGGACCTAGAATAGCTAAAGCAATGTGAAATGGCATCAGAGAAGACATACAGAGCAATGCAATAAAATAGAGAGCATAGTAGTAGACTCACATGTACGTGTTCAACCAATTTTCACCAAAGAAGTTCAATGGAAGGGATTGTCTGTTCAACATACGGTGCTGGAATATTTGAGTATCCATGTGCAAAAACTAACAAACTAATCTGGAGCCTCACCTCC